AGAGTGTTCTGTACTTTCCAGTTTTAGTGAAAACCTGAAGAAACAAAGCTTGAGATAGATCCTGAAGGTGATTGCAATTTGACATAGGCAAATTCTGCTTACTGCACTATACAGCAACACTATTACTGCCAAACTGTGCCGTATTTTCTTTGTACTGCCTCCTGGCGATGAGGTACATGGGAAGGTACGTTGTGTTACTCTATCAAATAATCAAATTTAAGAGGCCTTCCTTACAAGTGGTGGCAATTTCTGAAATTCTCACAAATAATTCATCTTTTTTTAAGTTACTGAAATATTTATATGAGGCTGTTATTTTGTTGTAGTCACCCAACACTCTGGAGACCAGAATATGGAAGTTACATGATTGAGGGGACACCTGGGCAGCCATATGGGGGAACCATGTCTGAATTCAACACTGTGCAAGACAACATGAGGAAAAGACGTCAAGAGGCTGCTTCTGTCCTCAAAGAAAATGAGGCTGTTTGCACTGTGACATCATTTCCAAGGTGAGATGGTTATTGAAGTGTAATATCATGTTTCCTATTTTCCTTATATAGGAGAGACATTTCTCCTTACTGCATACAGCTAACTGTACAATGAAATAGAGAAAAACATGATTCAGTTGAAGTACTTTGACTTGATGTTCCAGTCATGTTTCCTAAAATTTTCATTGTGACAAGACAAGCAAATAAGCATCTTTTATATTTTTTGGCTTGCTTCTAACCTGCGATGATTTTGTATTAGGAGAGAATACCAGAATATTCATAACATAAAGTTTTGTATATAGAGTAGTCTGCCATCTTGAGTTGATACAGCAAATCATATATATAAATGTTCTCTTTACCTTTTAATCTTTACAAATAGCAGTTTTGCAAAACATGGCTAACCTGATCTATTTTTTGAGACTGTTTTTTCACTGAAGTGCATGTAAGCTTCTGGTAGTTTGGAACACACAGACTTAAGACTTCTGTAATACAATACTGTACTTACTGAATCTAGAAAGGAGAACATCTCTCCTGGGTGGATAACACCCTTACAAAAAAGGGTAGAATTTCTCCTTTTTATTGTTATTAAGAGATTCTTGAAGAAATTAAATTCAAGATGTACTTCATTACTTAGGAGAAACTGTACTTTGTGCATTACTTTCAAACATAATTCTAGGCAGGGATTTATCATGTTCATTCTAACTAACCTGATCAGTGAAGTGAATGAAGATAGCGATGCTTATAATAGTAAAAACATTGCTCTGCAGTAGAAGAGAAGCAGCTGACCTTACTGACTAGTTTCTTGGGTAATATGGAATGCAGTGGCCCTAAATTCTTGCTGAGAGCAGGAACAGTACAAAGTATGACTTAGCAGTGAAGTTCAGGTGCCAAAAGACCTGCATTAAGTCCCATGATTCTCTTTATCAGAGCTGTACTATGTGTAATAAGAGCTTATTTAAAGTCCAGTGGTTAAGTAGTGTATTACAGATTTGTGGGTTTTTTTCCCTGAAACCTTATAAATATGTCATTAAATAAATTTTATATACAAACATTTTTTACCCAGTCTTGCAGGGAATAAAGGGAGAGTTCCTCATTGCTTTGTAGATACAGATAGGAGCAATATATTGGACTTCAGGAAAAGCCAATAAATAATAAAATGTAGTTTGTTTATTACTTATGCATCTTCCCAAACATAGTTTCATAGCTCAGAGGTTGCTCTCCCTGGGCTAACCTAATTTAGTTTACTTTTTGCACTTTTCACTATTTTGCAGTTCAAGGCCTGTTGACTGGAGTCTTGCTAATGTATTTCTGAGGTTTCATGAGTTTGGAGTTTTATGCCACATTCTCTCTACAACAACATGTACATATGCCTTTATGCATGTACATGTGTGTATAATAAAAAAACTGTATCTGAAAAGGCAAAAAAACTTGTCAGAGTGCTGACAGAAGAAAGGTAAAGAAGTAAGTTTATTCACATTAAAATAACTCAGTTAAAAATGAACAACCTGAAAATGCCTGATGCTAGGTAAATGTCTCTAGTTCTTAAATTCATGAGTCCCTGCTTCTGGACCAGAAAGTTGTTTTCTGTGTTGAGGACCAGAGGGATGTAGTTTACAGCGTAGCACTTTCATAGGTGATGAAGCTGGGCTTACAAGTTGTAGGACAACTTGTGTACGTAAACCAGGAAGAAGAAAACAATAGTGAAATACATGCTGAACATAAATAAAACCGTCAGAAATCTGTTTCCTGGTATTTTGTGTTCTTTCTTTGTAGCTTCATCAACTAAATTTTTTATCCAACGAAATACTAGAGCCTCTCAAGATAACACAATCTTTACCCTTTTTACTGGGCAGCATGGAGAAATTAATCTTCTGCTTCTTTACCTCCACCTTGCCAAATGTTCCTTTGTCTAAGCTGTACTGAAAACTTATTTTTGTTTCAGGTGACTCTGAAACTTAAATGGAGTTTCCCAAAGGAGGGAGTTGTATTCTGATTAGCTTGCATATCTCTCAATATTTTACACCTAGTAGGTGCATTTTTTCATAGGAATTTTCTGAGTTCTAAAATTACAAGGTGCTATGAGACTCAGGATTTATCACTTGAAACTACCTCTGATTCTTAAAGAGTTGATTAGGTGTATATTTTAACAAGGGTAGTTTGTTGGGAGCAGAGCTGGATAAATGACCTCGGCAGTCAGCATTAACCTGTATCCTCTAGAGAAACTCTTTAAGGCACAGAATGCAGTTGCACGTCAGTATTAATGATGAGTGCTGACACACTCTAACGTGTGTGTATACTCTACGTAATTCTGTGAAGTCTCCTGCTTCAGCCATTGAAAATGTCCATAATGGTAGACTAGTAGTTTTACAAAAAAAAAAAAGGCTGTCTTAACCACCACGGGAGCTGATTGTTGGCTGGTTGTCTACTAGGATCCTAATCTCTGATCATCTGACCATTTTAAAATCACAGTCTGTTTTCATTACAGCTTGGATCTCATTGTTGTGTTACACAGGTTAGGGTGTCCTGGGTTTACAGTGCCGGAATATAAGCCAAGACCAGTAGAAGGAGGAGCTTCAAAATCCCTCTTTTTTCCAGATGAAGCCATCAATAAACATCCTAGATTTAGGTAAGAATATCTGGGGAGTCTGATTGAGAAGCTGGATATTTTTTCTTTGCCTGAATATCTTAGACACACCTGCAAATCCTTTACATTACTAGAATAGAGAGCGCTGTGGGTAGTTGCTGCAGATATCATAAGGACTTGGACAGAAGTGGTTGTGATGACATGTTTTTTTCTTTTCAAAGTGACTTAAAAAGTAAACTGTTAAGTTCAAGTACCTTATACAATAGTTCATGCTATTATGGGGCAAAAGATTTTGATTTTGCTATTGCCAAATTGTTTCTGTTTTGAAATCCTATGGCTAAATGCTTCCATCATGGTTAATCCAGCTCTCACTTGAGTATGTCACAGCAACATCTCAGTGTACACAGTAACTTGCCCTAGTTACTCTGAAATGGATCACGTTGTATCTGTATAGACTGAGAGAGGGTTTCACTGTAAGGTGAAACTTTGGAGAACGAGAATCATTCTATTTAAAAACTAAGCACACCTTTTAACTTGCCCTTTTATTCTTCAGGTCTGTAGCCTTTTACTTCTGGCTATTTTATCAGCTCAGTAATGTGATGTCTGTCAAAATAAGACTGACTTCACAGGATAAAAAAATCAGTGTTGTCTACCTTAAACGAGGAAAAGAACCATCCTGAAGGAAAACGCTCAAAATAAATAGAAAGTTGACATTCTGAATTTGCTGACATTCAGAATTGTTGACAAATTAACTGCAAAAACAGAGAAAACTTCAGATAATTCAACAATCTTTTTTTTGTTGTAGTACACTGACCAGAAACATTCGACACCGAAGAGGAGAGAAGGTTGTGATAAATGTACCAAGTGAGTAAATTCAATCTTTCTTTTTGCTTTTTCAGTCTCATGCTCTGAGTTATTGAGTTTCCTGTGTTTTCCACACAGTATTTAAAGATAAGAACACGCCATCACCATTTATTGAAACGTTTCCTAATGATGATGGAGAAGCAGCAAAGGCAGCTAAGCCAGACTTTATATACATGGATGCTATGGGTTTTGGAATGGGAAACTGTTGTCTCCAGGTAAAGTGCATCTGCTTTCAAGATGTTACTTCATGTTTTTTTCCCTAAATGCTTCCCTTTTTAAGACTTGCCTTATGTCTGCTTCCTCTTTCTTAATTCAACTGATGCGTTTTCCATCAGTGTGGCAAAAGGGGAGATAGAAGAACAAATGTAATGTTATGTCTGATAATCTAGTTTTAAAATCTGGGTATATTGGGTTTGGCTGACCAGGTTTTGTCACAGAGGGGCTGAAGGGATGGCTGTTGTGAGAAGTGGCTGGAAGCTTCGCCTGGGTCCAAGAGAGCCAGCTGGGTCCAAGACAGATGCAGCGCTGGCCAAGGCCGAGCCCATCAGTAACAGGGGTAGCACCTCTGGGATAATACATTAGAAGGAGGGAAAAAACTGCACAACGGCACTGCAGCCAAAGACAGGAGTGAGACACGTGAGAGGAACAGCTCTGCAGCCACCCAGGTCAGTGAAGAAGGATGGTGAGGAGGTGCTCTAGATGACAGAGCTGAGATTCCCCCGGAGCCTGCAGGGAAGACCATGGTGAGGCAGGAGAATGACAGTAAAGCAGAAATCGACCTGCAGCTTTTGGAGGACCCCACACCAAAACAAGTGGATGCACAAAGAAGACCTGTGCAAAGCCTGCAGTGGAGCAGGTTCCTAGCAGGAGCTGTCACCCCATGCAGCACCCATGCTGGAGCAGTCAGTTCCTGAAGGACTGCACCCTATGGAGCAGTTCAAGAAGGGTAGCCCATGGGAAGTGCTGTCATGGTTTAAACCCACCCAGCAAATGAATACGATATAGTTGCTCCCTCATACACATGTACACCCCCACCCCTGGTGGTATGAGGAGGAGAGTCAGAAAAAGGTGAAACTCATGGGTTGGGATAAGAACAGCTTAATAATTGAAATAAACTAGAATATAATTGTAATAGTAATGTAAATGGGGGGGGGGGAATAAAACTCAAGAGAAAAGTGATGCTCAGTGGTACAGTTGCTGACAACCTGCTGCCAAATGCTCAACTACTCCCTGAGCAGCAATCGGCCCCTCTCAACTAACTCCCCCCAGTTTATGTACTAAGCATGATGTCATATGATATGGGATATCCCTGTGGCCAGTTGGGGTCCTGGCTGTGCTCCCTCCTGGCTTTCTTTGCACCTGCACGCTGACAGAGCATGGGGAACTGAGAAGTCCTTGGTTTAGAGTAAGCCTGCTCAGCAACAACTAAAACATCAATGTGTTATCAGCATTATTCTCATACAATCCAAAACAAAGCACTGTACCAGCCATTAAGAACAAAATTACCTGTCCCAGCTGAAGCCAGGACAAGGACTCCTATTGGAGCAGTTTGTGGAGGACTGTCTCATGGGAAGCACCCCGTAATGGAACAGGGGAAAAGTGTGAGAAGTCCTCCCCCTGAGGAGGAAGGAGCAGCAGAGACAACATATGATGAACTGACCCCAGCTCCCATTCCCTGTCCCCCTGCACTGCTAAGACAGGAGAAGGTAGAGAATTTGAGAGTGAAGCTGAGCCTGGGAAGAAGGGAGGGGTAGGTGTTTTAGTTTTTATTTCTCATTGTGCTACTCTGATTTGACTAGTAATTCATTTAATTTCCCCAACCCAAGCCTGTTTTGCCTGTGACAGTAACTGGTGAATCTCACCTCTCTGAGTTGGGTCAGAGTGTTGATCTACTGGAGAGTAGGAAGGCCTGCAGAGGGACCTGGACAGGCTGGATGGATGGGCTGAGACAACGGGATGAGGTTTAACATAACCAAGTATCGGGTCCTGAACTGTGGCCACAAAAACCCCAGGCACCTACAGGCTGGGGCCAGAGTCTGGAAAGCTGCCCAGCAGAAAGGGACTTTGGTGTGCTGGCTGACAGCAGCTGAACATGAGCCAGCAGTGTGCCCAGGTGGGGCCAACGACATCCTGGCCTGTATCAGGAATAGTGTCACCAGCAGGACCAGGACAGTGATTCTTCCCATGTACTCAGCACTGGTGAGGCCACATCTCAAGTACTTTGTTCAGTTCTGGGCCCCTCAATTCAAGAAGGACACTGAGGTCCTGGAGCGTGTCCAGAGAAGGGCAGTGAAGCTGGTGAAGGGTCTGGAGCACATGTTCTATGAGGAGAGGCTGAGGGAGCTGGGGATGTTTAGCCTGGAGGAGGCTCAAGGGAGGCCTTATCGCTCTCTACAACTACCTGAAAGGAGGGAGTAGCCAGATGCGGGTCAGCCTCTCCTCCCAGGCAACTAGTGACAGGACAAGAGTCTTACACTTCACCCAGGGGAAGTTTTGGAAAAAATTCTTTACAGATGAGGTGATTAGACACTGGAATGGACTGCCCAGCAAGGTGGTGGAGTCATCGTCCCTGGAAGTGTTAAAGGAAAGACTGGACATGGCAGCCACAGTCTAGTTGACTTGGTGGTGCTTAGTCATGGGCTGGACTCAATGATCTCAAGTCTTTTCCAAGCCAGTTGATTCTGTGATCTCTCCCTGTCCTTATCTCTATCCATGAGCCTTTTGTTACGTTTTTTCTTCCCTGTCCAGCTGAGGAGGCAGAGTGGCTTTGATGGGCACCTGGCATGCAGCCAGGGTCAATCCAACACATCTGGTTTATTTGTTTGCATTATGTTTATGTCTTGCTGATATTCAAATGTGGTTGGATGACTTGCTGGAAGGGTTTCTTAAACTGGTCAAACCACATTTGATCAAGCACCTGCTCCTAGAACTCCAGCACTTTCTAAGTGTCAAAGATCATCTTCCGTTCTGGTCGTCTTTCAGGCATGACCAAAGGACACTGTGAAGATGGAAACTGAGCTGTCTTGTAGGAATGTGAGGGGGTTTTTGGTTATTCATTTTGGGTATTTTTCCTCTTTCATATTCTTAGAACAGCAAAGGAGGGAGTGGGAAGAGGTCATGGAAATATTTTTAAAAATAAGTAGCTTTTTCCTTTTGTATAACTTTATTTTATTTACAATTTATTTATATCATGAACTCCTGTATAAAGTTTCTCATTCTTAAATATTTTATATATCTGATAAGGAGTTGTCTTCTCACTGCTTGTACCATGAACCTATCAAATCCACATGGATAGCTGTCTTCTGTTACTGTGTGCTGGGAGACATTCTTGGTCCTTTTTTCTTATTTTCCTGAGTTATTCCTGTCTTGCAGTATCTTCCCTTTAAATCCAGGTGCTGAATATTGGGAGCGCTTTAATCCTTCCAATTTCTGTTTGTTTTAAATGTTTCTCTGTCATAGTAGTCTGATGCTGGGGTCTGGCTGATGCCTTAAGTAGTTGCAGTATATTTGACTATTGATAAAATGTGCCACCACCACCATCTTGGAAGCAGAGCTAGGAAGAGGCTAGTGTTAAGTCTATATGGGATTAAGGGAAATTCTCCAGGCTCCTCTTGTTTCATAGCAGTGGCAGAAATAATCCCATAAAAAGCACTTCTGTTTAAGATTGAAAAACTACAAAAGTTGAATAAATAGAAGTTATTGACAGCTGCTAAGTATGGTTTCTTTCAGTAAGAACAAGTTAGGGAAGTAGGGAAGTGTACATAATACTGTGTCATTTTACAAAGTGTTAAGTTTGGTGTGGCCTATTTTGTACCATCTCTCTCTTATTTCAGACCAAAAAGAGAAATCCAACTTTATCGTTCAGTCATTGTATGAACTTCAAAAAAATTTAGCAAATTCCTGTTTAAGGAATACATTTTACTAGTCCCCATTCTTGTAAACATTGGCCAAATTCAAATTTGGTAGTCCTGTTATCATCAAAGGGAGGATGAAAACAAGGCTGGCAGCTGCTTCTGGATCAACCGATAATTCCTGATAACTGACTAGAAGAAAACATGTTTTCCCCACCTATTTTTTATTAGGTAGTTTGCAGTATGCGTACTTCCACTTGTGTTTTGGGGGTGTTTTGTTGGTTTGTTTTTTGTTTTGTCACTTTTTTTCTTACTGCGCACCAAGCTACAACTTGGTTTGATGTATTTCCAGGGTTAAAAATAATGTCCTGATGAGCTCAGCTGGGACAGCCTGCACTGGCAGTGGGGTAAGAGGTGCTGCCCCTGCAGTGCCTATAACCCTCCTCTGGAGAAGACAACCATGCCTTTTTTGTCTGTAATGGGATGTTTGTCTAGAAGCCATGTTGAATCTCACATTTATTGTGGTTTGGATTAAACATAAAAGAGAAGGGGAGGCAAATATCAGTGTCTGGGGAGAGAGTAGAGGTGTCAACCCACCTCCACTCCAAGGCTAGCTCCCTAGTGCTGAATGTCCCAAGTTAGTGATAAGAAACCGTACTTAGCTGCTTCTCTGCAAGAAAATTAAATATCTTGTCTTTTTAAAGTGCGGGATTTTGTTTGCTTGGGATTTTTTCTGATAGCCTCTTGAAGGATAGACGCAGAAGAAATAAATTTTCTACAGCACAACCATTTTTTAACTTAGGATGTTTTAGTGAATGTTGGCTGCAGATTTAAAAAGACAAAACAAATAGAAACAAATCATATTTCTCCTACACCACCATTGCCAACACCCCCCCAAAAAAGTCCACCACTGAGGCACCAGTGAACTCAGGGTTTTAGAGGGATTTGCTGTGTTGTTTTTGTTAAGTCTTAACTTGAAGTTGTATTGGTTTTCAGTGGCAAGTTGAGAAGAACATTTATGTTTTGTGGAACTCTAATTATTATCTGTGGAACAGGAAAGTCTGTGTTCAGCTGGCATTCTTCAGGACAAGCAGTGATGGTGATCTAGAGCTGAAGTGTGTTGTATAATGTTATAGTAGTGGTACAGGGGTGCACTCCCAACTGAGTTATCATCTGATATGTGAATATGTAAACTGCTAAGATGAAGAGACTTTCGAGGTGATTGATCACTCTACATTTTTAAAATGCATAAAGTGTTGGTTTGAGAGCTCTAGAGGGTAAGGTCTGCTACTAGAAATACGTCTTGTGTTTGATGCTGCTCTCAGCAAATTTCAACAAATTATTACAAAGCAGTTATGTTTTCCAGTGGCCTATATGTGTAGGACTTCCCCAGTCCTACAGAAATGGCTTCTGCAAGTAACATTTCTTTTCCATCTTTTGCTGTGTTCTGACTGCTAATGCAGGCAAAGCTGGACTTTTTTTTTAAGTTACAGTAGACACACAGATACTTATTTTTTCGCAGTTTTGCAGGATCAAAGGTGTCTTGAAATGTTCTTTAGAACAGGATTAGCGTCACATAAAACAAATGTTAGATCTACAGTAAAGCCTGGCTGTTGTTGTAAGTAAGTAGGTTCCTGGCTTGTTTCCTGAAGGTGCATTACTAATCCATGTGTATTGTAGATGTTAACTTAGTTTTCTTTGATTCTGGCAACTGTTTGTATATTTAGCCTCACCATGGAAGCATTATGGTCTGAAATCTTTTAATGAACATGGAAACAGCATGGAAAAAAGCTTGTATAAATGCTATTGATAGGTGGGGCAAAAATGTGTCCAAGATGTAGGAGAGGGATCCACACAAAATACCCACCCAAAACCAACCAACCAACCAAAAAACCTTACAATTTTTGATATTTAAATAATTTTATTATATAATTGATTTTTAAATTTAGGAAGACTGTGTTTGTAGTATGATTATAGAAATGGTGATAGCAACTGTACTTCTTCCAACAGGTAACATTCCAGGCTTGCAGCATTTCTGAAGCAAGGTATCTCTATGATCAGCTAGCCACAATTTGTCCCATTGTGGTAAGTAATGGATATGTGTCAGATGAACTCTTCCTTAGTAGCAGAAGCCACTACATGTAAAAAAAATAATATTTAAATTACAAGCTCACAAATTTGGTACTCTAGGAGAAGTGTCAGACTATTTCTAGGTTGTCACATGAGTTGTGTTATCTATTTAATGTGCAAATGACACCACAGAACAGATGATACCTGTTCTTTCCCGGTCCTCGTATCTGTTTCTTCTCCTCTGCCCTCACTCCCACATGCACGAGACTCCTGTTGAGTAATTCTAAAAATACCTTTGAGGCAATTTTTCTTGGAAACAAGGCAAGCTCACTGCTGAAAACAATTTTTAATTTTTCAACTCTGCTCTGGTGTTACAGAGGATTTCAGCGTAAGTTGTTTAAAGCTGTCCCTTTTGTCATAAACAGCATGTGGTCGTAAACAGATGTTTATAGCAGGTGTTACAGAAATAAAGTATCTCTCTGGTCTGGATGGTGAGAAGTTCCTGCCCTGAGTGAGGTATGTTCCAGCTGTGTTGCTAAGGTGCTTGGCCAAACAAAACTAAACAAAATAAAATGCCTGCCAGGTGAACTTGTGAAGTTTCAAAGTGCGCAAGCAGAATACTTGCTGATTTGTCACAAAATTGCTTCTGTCTGTATCATTTTTGTGTTCTTTAAATGCTGATTTGTACAGGTAAATACATTTGGAGAGTGTCAAGTGCCGCTTCAGTAATGCAAACCTCCATCTAAGCATTTTCTGGAGGTAGCAGTTGAGAGATTTTTGGTTATACAGGCTTTGGCTGTACATTACACTGAAGTATATACTTGAGTTACTTCTGGACCAGCATGTTTCCCTTTCTAGTGGGGCTGTATTTTGCTTTTGGTTCCTTGGCCTGTCCTTTGTTTTCATATGAGACTGTTTAATTTTAGATGGCATTGAGTGCTGCGTCTCCATTCTACAGAGGCTACGTGTCTGATATTGACTGTCGCTGGGGAGTAATCTCTGCATCTGTAGATGATCGAACACGAGAAGAGAGAGGGCTAGAGGTGAGCAATGTTAAGAAGTAGATGTCTGGGTTTTTTCAGGTAAAAAAGTTAAATCTCCTTTAGCATCAAATTCTGCTTGTGCTCATCAGAATCCCTAGAGAGGGAATGTGGCGGGTTGTTTTGTAAATATAGGAGAGACGGTGTAAACACCTTGGTTGTACAGTTTGTCTTAGCAAATATATATTTTTAATTAGGTATGAAATCCCAGTCCTCCACAGCTTGCTGAAAAGGGCCCCCTGTGATGAAACTTCTCAGTTTGTGTTTGAGCCCAAAAGGCAAAAATTGTTCTGGATTAAATAGCAGGTGCTGCCGAGTAATATAAACTAGAACTATGTGAAGAGAGACAGATGTCAGAAGTTGAACCTACAGAGTTTCTCTAAGCAGGAATTTGCATTCAAGGTGCTTACAAAATTACGTAAAATAAATAGTTTTAAAAATCTACTTGAAATAATTATTGAACTACCCATTTTAAAAGGGTCTCTAACAATGTGCACATAATGAAACTGTGTTGGCATGTGTTGCAATAGTTGTAATAATGCTTTCCAGGTACTTGGGGTAATGGTATATTACATCAGGAAGAGGTTTCCACTGCTAGTGGATGTCTTCTAGTCAGTGTGTGATGATTGGGTTCTTGCTCAGATACATACGTCCGCAAACAAAATAGTCGTAATTCCAGGACTGCTTTCTATTGATCCTATTTAAGACTTATGCTTTTTAAATAATTTTAATTGAGGCTATAGGGCTTTTTTAAACCAGATAATAATTCTCACGTAAGTGTCATTAGTGAGCAAAACTTAGGAAACATTGTTAACAAGCTGTTAAAATATTGTATTCTTAAATTATATAGCCACTGAAGAACAACCATTATAGAATCAGTAAATCCAGATATGATTCCATAGACAGTTATCTATCTGAATGTGGTGAGAAATACAATGACATTGATTTGACAATAGACAAAGATATCTACGAGCACCTAATAAAGGAAGGTAAGTGCTTGCTTCATTATGAGCAGGTTAAGAATTATGTTTGCAGTGTGTGGGGATATTTTGATTTTGTTCTTGTTTGTTACAATCATTGTGCAGCCCTCAGAGTGACTCCTACTCAGGAAGTATCTGTGTAGCATGGTCTTGAGAGTTTTCTAAAATGGATTCATTTGTAACAGAAACTGTCCCTAATGGATCAACTGAGTTTCTCAAGCTGGAATTAATATTTTATCTTTATGGAGAGAGCAGAACTGCTTTAGGAAACATGGCACAGAGTGCATCAGAAAACAGGAAGAAACAGGCAGCCACACCAATATTCAGCTGCCATTTCCAAACAAGAACTTGTGTTGTGTTTTTTTTTCTCTTTAATCATTTCCTTCCTTCCTGAAGTCATCATTTAAACTTGAACAGGATGTGGTGGGTTAAAGGTAGCATTGCAGAGTTGGATGTTTTCAGTCTTGTAAAAAAATTAATTACTTAGAGCCTGTTTTGAAATGTGTGAATTGTTTGAATTTTCATTTTGTAGGTATTGACCACCTGTTGGCACAGCATATTGCACATTTGTTCATTCGAGACCCATTGACTTTGTTTGAGGAGAGAATACATCTAGATGATGCAAATGAATCCGACCATTTTGAGGTCTGATTTGGAGGAATTTAGTAAATATTTTCATATATATAATTGTTTATTCTTTATATAGTACTGCTTAACTGGAGGATGGCTGTAGTCACTAGGAATTTTTTCATTGCAGTTTCACTTCAATTAGTTCTTTAGCACAACTTCGCAGTTATAAGCATATTATTTCTTTGTTTTATCTTTTATTTAGAAGGTGATGGCTTATACTTTAAACCAAATAAAATATGAACAGCCCAAATTATAGCTATGTATATGTGCTAAAGGGAACTGTCTGTTTTTATGGCTTCCTAAAAACTGGTTTGCATTTTAGTTATGTAGAAATGTCTCTCTTTTACAGTTTTGTGAGATAATAGCTATGGTGATATTAGGTATTTTTAGTTTGGGATGTGTCAAGCCCTCATAAAAAAAAAAAGTCAGCTATATACCAGTCCCCTAGGATCTTGTACATAATACTCAACCAAAATAGCATGAGAAGGTATAAGATATTTGCTCCTAGAATGGGTACTTGTGATGAGGCTTTTATGAAGTCATGCCACTTACTTTAGAAGCAACTTCTCTAACTCGATTGGCTGTTCCAAGGAAAATATTAGGACTCCAGTTATCCGCTTATTTTAATTTGATTATATTATGGAATGATGTGTATCTTGATTGTGACAGATTATTTCATGTGTTTTGCAGAATATTCAGTCTACAAACTGGCAGACAATGAGGTTTAAGCCACCACCTCCCAATTCAGATATTGGATGGAGAGTGGAATTCAGACCTATGGAGGTAAGAAAGACGTCAGTATGCACAAAAGCACATTTCCTTTTAAGTGGAAAAGTACCAGGCATTATGCCATCCAGTATCAGACTCTTATTACTTGCGCTGTGTTTTCTCCCCTCTGAATTGCTAGATGCAAGTGAAGTGGACAGCAGTGTTTAATCAGACGTGAACTGTGGGAATGTAACTGACAGGTGAATCCACTGCAGCACAGCAACGCATGCTAATGGCTTTGGGGTGATGGGGAAAAGAATTAGGCTTGTATTAAAGCAGCAGTAAACAAAGCCCCATTTGGCTTCTAGAGACTGTATTTTTCCAGTACATTTCCTGGTACTGAACAATTCTACTGTCATTGTTTTGTTTCTCACAAGTGCTTTAATTCTGTAGCTGTCAGTTTCTGAGCTCTCTGAATTTAATCCCTTTAGAGTGGAAATTTAAAAGCTACTATACATCTGTAATTAGACAGAGAGCCTGAAGGTGCAGGTTTTTAGATAGTCTTTCGAAACGCAAGTGTGTTTTGGTGTCGGATTGAAGGTTGAGTTTGTCGAAGCCTGTGTGTGCATTGTGCATTTCAAGCCACTGCTGATGATTCCTGTGTGTGCGTCACCATCTTGGTGAGTAGAGTGTGTGTGAATACAAGTACCAACATGAACATTCGAGTCAAAATGTTTTAAACTGTCCTCCATATTTAACTACTTGCACAAATGTGTTTGCACTAAAGTAATTGACTCTCTAATCCTTTCATGTCTAGGTCCAGTTAACAGACTTTGAAAACTCTGCATATGTTGTGTTTGTGGTATTGCTAACCAGAGTGATTCTGTCATATAAACTGGATTTTCTCATTCCTTTGTCCAAGGTAGGTGTGAAAGATCAGATCCGTTAGAAATAATTGCAGTGTATTTGTCTGATTTTTATCCCCTGCAAGCTAGGAAATAGTATTTGTGCACTTACAGAACAGTCATTTTATCTTTCAGTCAGTTTTCATCTATAGCAGTACTTTGGATTGATTTCAACTCTACAGTATTGAACAAATATTTTACTGCTGTCTCATGGAATTCAACTTACAGACAAATGCTGTAGGAATTTCTGTGGTGCCTAGCAGTGTCTGAGTACTGCAGAAATGTTGAGAAATACCATTGTCACAAGCCTGTTTGGAAGCTGGGAAAAGGGCGTGTTTGCACCATTTTTCGTGGTGGGGGACAAAATAAAAACTTTAGGTACTTATTTTAGCATCACTGTTGCCTGTATCTCATGCTGTTATTCTCTGTTTTGTTTATATCTGGTGGAGGGGGAAAGGAGGAGTCAGCATGCTTAGTGTTACACAGTATTTGAGTGGAAACAAATACTGCTGATTCTGGTCACAGCTGTGACTTGTGTTTAGACAGATCAGCCATGCAAAATGTGCTTTTGCCTTAATCTCGTCCTCACAATTGCTGAACTGTTTTGTGTGAAATTGTCCCTGCATGTCCTCTTTCTGAGGCCCTTGACCAGAAAATGTCTTTTTAGATGTATATTCCTGCAGTGTTATAGGTAACTTTAAAAAGGGTCTTGTAGTGCAGAAGGCTTTTGACAAACTCTATACTGGAAAATCCTGCTGGTGCTGGCTGCAGCATGGCCATAGTATCCTGTGGCTTTTCATAGTGTTTTCTAATTAAGATGGAGAAAAACACTAAAGTTGTAAATTTACAGTAATGATACCATACATTTGGTATGACTTCCAAAAGGAGATGTCAGGGAGTTCAGACTTCATAAATAATGCAGCTATTAACTACCAGTTAAGTAATGCAGCTTTTAACTACCAGTTAAAAGTGAAAGAGATCAGATGCTGAAAGAACCTGAAACAGAACTAGGGGACTGGTAGGCTTAAAATTGCTTGAGCTCACCAAGTAATTTGGCAGGTAATACAACATAGAATTGCACAACCATTGGTAAGCCTGCCTCTTTCAAGTAAAATAATAGGGAGTTATGGGGCTAATCTCACACTAATCTTTGCTGTCTGATTGAATGTGGTTGAACACTCATCAGCTGGGACTGGAGTTCTTTCAGACTTTCAAAACAACCTGTTGTGTAAATAAGTTTCATAATATGAATAAAAATAAACATTTGAAAACAAAGCTTTGAAAGGTAAGATGTAAAGATTTTGCATTGCCCTTAATTAAAGGTCAGACAAAGAATTCAGCAAATCCATATCCTTTCTTCTGAAGACAATGTGGTAAAGCTGATGTCTGAAAGCTGTACGATGTTAATTCCCTGAGAACATACCAACGACATAAGTTGGACAAAATCTTCCGTCTAGAAGGACAAAGTAATGCTTATGTCATTTGCAGAGCACGTGTACTTTCATTTGCAGAACTTTATAGAAGTCTGCAATTTAGAACTTTTTTACTAGCAATCTTAAGTCATTTGAATTGTATCTAAATATGCAAAGAAGTCTGCCACATAATCACAAATGTTCCTGTGTTTTCATCCGAACTTAAATTAGCATAGAATGTCCTAACAGGAAACCATTACCTTTTCTGCTGGAGACCCAGTTTCACAAAACATCTGTTTGTGGGTTTGTACTGGACACTGAATGAAATCAAACTTATCTCCACAGCTTGACCTGTGTGATGAAATAATAAGAAACATAGTAGATGTTTCAACTTAGGAAACCCAAATGTGAGAGTTTGGGAGTATCCTACTGCTCTAAAATGTCACTCATCTCTGAAATACTTCTTTTGCCAGGTGGATGAAAACATGAAAGTGGCCCAGAAAAGAGATGCTGTCCGACAGGGAATGTTTTACTTCAGGAAAGACATATGCAAAGGTATCACAACGAGCAACCTGACAAACACTGTTGTCAGTGTTAAGTGCATCTGTTGCCTTCTAACCATTTCTTCCTTTCCCTTTGTCACCCATGAAGGAGGAAATGCTGTTGTGGATGGCTGTGGCTCTGCACAGAATGGGACAGGCACCAACACAGAAGAGTACACCTTGATGAGCATTGATACAATTATCAATGGAAAGGTCATAGCCTCTTCTACCTGGAATACACTCTATTCTACCCTTCCAGAAACCAGGACTGAGTGTGTTTTATGCTGATTCTGTTCTCTTACACAGGAAGGAGTCTTTCCTGGTTTGATCCCAGTTTTGAATTCCTATCTTGAAAACATGGAAGTGGATGTGGACACAAGGTGCACCATCCTAAACTACCTGAAGCTAATAAAAAAGAGAGCCTCTGGTATGTTTGACATTTCTGGACAATGATTTTCCTGGCATTTTCCTACTTTCAGTTAGGTAAAACTGATGGCAGTGGTGGCTGTCTGGTTTAAGTGTTGAATCATAAAAGCAAAGGACTGGAGTGTGTTCTCTGCCTTTAATCTGATCCTGTTTAATTTTGATTATTAATGTTTAGTGATCCATTTTAGAACTTAAATTAGTAACCAATAAAGTAACAATTACGTTTTAGAGGGTAGTGTTTGTCCACTCCAAGATCTCTCTTTTCAGCACCACTTACGGCTGCTTTTGCCAGTGTATTGTCCACTTTGTAGTAGTTTGTACATACATTAATTCACTTTTCTCTGTCCCTTGGGAGGTGTAAGAGTGAGGCTGGGTCTGGTAGCCTGCTCAGTGTTACTGGTGTGACTGCAAAGCATGCTGCTCCAAAGCATTCATAAGTCTAAACTCAGCTGTGCTAGAGCGTAGGACATAGGCTTTAGCTCCCTGATAAGAAACCCCTTCTGTAAGTAGCAAAACTCCTTCAACACAGAGCAAACCAGGCTCTTCCACTGTCTTTCCCATGTTGCAGTGTTTTTGAAGGCAGGTGGTATAAAGGCTCTTTATTTTTCTTCTTAAAGTGCAGCAGTATAATGAGTAAAAGATGAAGGCTAAACTTCAATTCAGAACTGGGCATTTAGCACAGACTTTAGCAGTTTTTTAACTTTTTCTGTGCAAATCCCGTGAACACCTGCCTTGCAGTAAATTTAACTAGATAATTTTAGTCTTGTAATTCAAGACTTCCCCCCCCCAATTTTAAACTTAAATATTGCATTCCTGTGCCATGATGTTTCTCAGTTGTGAGCTTTAGATTATTCCAGTTTACTCTCAATCTTAAATATTCCTGATCTGTAGCTTTAGATTATTCCAGTTTACTCTCAATCTTAAATATTCCTGATCTGCAGCCTGTCTAGCTTGTCAAGTCCACAAAGAGTGGCCATTTTTCTGATTTCTGTCCTCAAATGGTGAACACAGCACTCGTCAGTTAAACACTGACACCTTAGCTGCTGTGGCTGTAACCTTGCCCTGATATCATCCATCCGAGCTTCAGTTACATCCTCCCTTGCAGCGCAGCTGGCTATTGCCCTCCTGGTCCCTGTCTAGGTGGTGTGTGACTGCCACCACACCATGAGACCATGGATTTGGTAGGCAGGCAGAAGGTGCTGACCACCACCAAATATTAATGAGAACAGTATTGAGATAGCAATATCAAGCAATCCTTGTCCTGGTGTGCTCTCCTGGCTCCCTGCTGCCTGCAGCATGGGAGCTGTCTCGGCTGACGCTGGTGCAATAGTCACAGTGCTTGATGAGCATTCACAAATGTGATTTCCATGCTCTTTGCCTTGCCCTTCTTGAAGTAGTTACGCTTTTGGTTCCCATAAAGTCATACAATAAGAAATGCCACAGTTCTATTATATGCACTTAAAAAAAGTAGTTCCTGTAGTTTTGAGTGTTTAGTTTAAATACTCTTCCCAGTTACTCCATGATATGACTTCTAGTTCCTGTGTTGTACGAGCATGTTTTTCTATTCAATTCTCATCAACATTCATAACTGTACAGACTTTTCCAGTACTTCTGGAACAACTTCAGTTGCTTCTGAGCTTGCAGTTCCCTTTGTCTTGTCTCTTCTTGCTTGGAAGTTGTCTCACACCTTTTGTCAGTCTGTGGTGCCTTATCCCTGTATGTTCTTGGAGAGCCCCAGGCTGTGCTGCAGGTTTACACGGTGACAAGGATGGGGAGTGCCTGGGCTGCCTGGCCACTAGGTGTCTGTGTTGTGCACTCGACTGCTCCCGGCTCCTCCTGCACAGACAGACAGCCTGTACGGCTTTCAGTCCAGGAATGTGTCTTTTTTGTATGCCTCGCTCTGCTCATCTCCTGGTTCCACTGCTTTTCTTGCAGGCCTGCTGCTTCTCGTTGGTATGAGAAAGTTTTCCTGCGAGTGTTTAGGGTCTTCAATAAAATCATTTCTTGGGTCTTGTTTTTTTTCTGCCTTCTCCTTCTATAGAAGTGTAAATTCTGGCTTCATTCTTTAAAATATGACTTCCGTTTTTTGAAGGACGTTTTTATTTCTAATAACCTTTATTATTCTGCTTTTCTTTCCTGTATTTTTTGCAATTTTTATGATTTGTGTTCATTTACCTCTGTTCAAAACCACTGCTAGCATATTTTTAAACAGTCTTTGATGCTTTTTACTTTTTATTTGTGTGTTCCTCCGTGCTTTCTCTAACTTGATTCCTCTTGCTTTTTATAATATTCTTAAACTGAAGACTTCTGTGGTAGAAGCCCTTGACTCTTTGCATTCTCATGAGGAAACTGATGTTCCAGTAGCTAGCCATGAAAGTTTTGCTAGGCTTTTCGAGCATCCCATCAGCCTATCTTAATGTCTTGCTGTCAGTTACCTTAAATTTGTAGTAGTTAAGCTTTGCCTGCATATGCTGCATTCAGGAGCAAGATTTAGCAGCCTGAACACTGGTGTCCATCTGGCCTCCAGCTGCTACTTTGTAGGAATGTCAGTTCTTCTGCAAGTGGTGTGTGCTCTTCAGTGACCCTGTATAGAAGTGCTGGGGAGCCTTAGGCACTTGCTGATCACCTCAAGAACTGTGTAGTGAAGCAGAGGCAGTGTGTACAAACCAGAAGTTGGTAAAATTGGGAACTTGCCTATTTTTTGCTAGAGAAGCTGCCAGAGGGCGAAAGAATAGTAAGCAAAGGTAGACAGATCAAAACTAGCAGCCAACCTGGATGGATGAACTACAAAATTATTTTGTAGTATATTGTTGTGTAGAGGTGTCTGTTGGTTCATCTCAGCCAGATTCTTTGTTAAATGAAATGTTTAGGACATTAGATAGATATTATTATATTAGGACATTATATTATATATAATATACATATATTTATATTATATTAGGACATTAGATATATAAACTGTGACATTTGACTTCCCCTTGCCCACAGGAGAATTAATGACAGTTGCTCGATGGATGAGGGAATTTATCGCACAGCATCCAGCCTACAAGCAAGATAGTGTGATAACTGATGAAATGAATTACAGCCTTATTTGGAAATGCAACCAAATCGCACAAGGCCAGGCAGAGTGTCCTGAACTGTTGGGGGTGGGATTTAATAAGAAACAAAGTGGAAACAAAACTGACTCTTTGTAATGAATGAATGCTTCTTAAATAAAAAAAAAAGTTTAAGCCTTTTAGCAAAGCATTAGCAAAGATGCTGTGAATCTGGTACAGTTCGTGGTGTGAAGACCAAAACAGGGTTACTGCACTATAATATGGGCCGATCTGCCTAAATATTCGTTTAAGACATCCTGAAATAGACATATTCTTATTGCTAAGGTTTATACAATATACATGTAAATAGTAAAATATTTTTATGATTAACATCAATGTATTTTAATAACATTGTAACTAAAGTTATTGTGAATTAGCTTGTAACTTTTTTATGCTTATTCTAGAAAGAAAAATCGCCCTGAACAGCTTTGTAAATGTAATGGTACTTGTATATTATATGCATTCCAGTTACTGAATGTTTACTGTAATTTTTTTAACCTGGAATGTGCTAAGTAATTTACCTTATTGTGTAAGAAAAAACAATTCTTCTGGATCTACCTGAATCACAGAAAATTCTTCCTTTCATTCGGCTTTTGAAAGTATGTAAGAACAGATAAATGCGTGTGCATCCTAATTGTTAATCTTTACAGCAGTTTCTCAGTTGCCACAAGACCTGCATCTACTTTTAAACTGTAAAACTCAGAGGAACAGATCTGTCTTTATTCAGATAATGCAAGTCAGCCTGCCTGCAGATGCATCATTATTTTCTTCCGCTCTGAAATAAATCTATGTGTTATCGCAGTTCAGAAATTTGCCCAATGGTTTAACAAAAAAGTAGTAATGGGAGATGTGGTGAAATAGAGGAGGAAATGAGATCTGAGCATAAAGCTCTTTTCACTAAGAGATACCATCACTCTGGACTTCAGCATTCCTTGATTCTTGCTTCTCCCACATTGCTGATGTTCCCACAGTCGACAGTGACTGCAGCACAAAACCAAACTCATGTCCGTTCTTCCTAAAGGATGAGTTTCTTGTTTTGTCATTCATTACTATAAATATTTTTGTCAGCATGTTGGTTTCCTAAAAGGTACATTATATTGGCAGCTGAGGGTACCTACATAGCTGTAGTTTTGGACAAACTTAATCCCCTCTAGAAAATAGTTAGAAAGAGAAATTTCGGAATGCACTAATCGTTTGAATTTGGAGCAGGTGCTGGGAGTGACTGTAAAGTATTTAAAATTTAGCCATTGCAACTGTAAATAAAGCAAACTTAAAGGGGCCTTTTTGATTTAGCTTGTTAACTGACTTCTAGATGTGAATTGCATTATGGGTAGACGATGCAAAGCTCAATGCAAGCATATATAAATACCTGGGGTGTAATGATTTTTTTAAAAGAACTAATGGAGAAACTGCAATGAAGAGGTGCACTAAGAAGAAGCTTTTATGTACTGAATTAGACTTTGTTCTGTGTTCACAGGTGTTCTTTAGAGAATAAAAAGAATGCTCTTTTTCTGCAGTGGTGAATTTGTTTTACTTAAGATGTAGGTATATACTGATTTAGTTTCTGTAATAAGGAAATAAAAATAAAATTTGCAGTATGTTGTTAGTCACTTGCATGACTTGAGCCCACATTTTCAGATTCAAAAAAGGTGGAGCTGTATTCCTGGCAAGTACAATTCATCCAGACTCACTTTCTTCACCATGGACCTTCTCAGGATTAATGGCAAATGATCTGCCCACCCCTGCAACAGAGAAGTCCTTGCCCTTTGTCAAGGTAGCATCTGGCTGATTACACAGCATGAGCCGCTGTGCTTGGAAGACCCCTAAAAATAGAGTGCTTTCCCGCTGGTGCTGCATCAAAACCTGTCCTTATTCCCTTTCAGCTGATATTAAATTACCCTTTTGGTTTCTGTGTGTCCTGTGAGAGAATATTTTGTCATGATGCCCTAAAAGTTGTGGCTTGAAGTTTCCCTCATGACTTCTTGTATGCATATTTTCAGAAGGGATGAGAGGCATCAAGCACAGAGCTGCTGCTGTTTGTTGAAGCATACATGGTTGCAGTATCTACGCAGTTTACATTCACGAGATGAAGAGTTAAGATATATGCTCCAGCCTGTTTTTTACAGTGTGGCACAGTGAGGGCTCTCACGAGGGCAAACCAGAGTTGCTGCAGGGAGGGGAGGCAAATTTTGCTACTGGTTTTGAATACACCTTATAGGTGGCTCTGTGGTATCTGCACCCACTCTGAGGTGGGGAAGCAAACTCTAGGGCAAGCCTCAAGCTCTGGCTGACCTTTTGCAGAGAACATGAGAAACTCCCTTGAGCTATGAATTTGGGATTTTTGGTCCTGCAGTCATCAAGTGCTTTCATGGGATTAATGACCTTTCCAACAGTCACCTGAGTAAAAAGGGAGGGGAAGAAGTATCAGGTAGCTGAGGTGAACTGTGATTGATTCCTTATCCAAATACTTAGGAGTGTATCTGTAATGGCACTTCCTCTGATTGCTGATGTGTTGGCCCCAGTTCAGCCCCAGTAATATAGTTTCATGCCTTCCCATCAGTTTTCAGCTAAATCCTGTTGTGATTTCCAGAGGTCTTGATGCTATAAACAGTACTCTGATGCCAGTTTTCTCTAGAGTCAGAGTACTTGCCTATACAAGTGTATTTATTTCTGGATTATTTTAGCCATGCTTTTATTATGGCCTAAATCCTTGAAACATAGCTCCTTCTGTGTGTGCACTGAGCTCTGCAAGCAGCTTGCCCTTCTGGAAGTGGTGCAGCAAGAGCTTCATACAATACTTTGGTCCCATAAAAGCAACCTGACCTCTGAAACTAGTTGCACTTAAAAGTTTCTTGTTTGCAGTTACTTTGTTTACTGTTTTTAAATGGATTATATTTGCTGCACTGATGTGTTTTGCAGCGAATTGGAGAGGCAGATCCTGCTAGGTGGTGTCTTCCTCCTGCACAGGAAGTTGGTCACGGGAGCTGTGACAGCTGAGGTTATTGCAGCATTTATCTAGATAGTGTGAGCTGGGTTTCAGCAGGAAAGGATTTCTGCAATTCTTTTCCAAGAGCCAGGGACAGAGTAGGAAACAGCGATGGCCCTGCCACTGTGCAAGCCCTGCTCAGCAACAGCCCCAGCCCCGGTGGGTCACTGACACTGTTTTAGCAACAAATGGGAAGCAGAGCACCATACAAGCTGTTGGAAGGGAAGGCAAGGCAAAGCAAGGCCAGGGAAGGGAAGGACATGGAAGGGAAGGCAAGGCAAGGGAAGGGAAGAGAAGGCCAGGAGTCAGCTGACCTCCACAGCTAGGTCTCTTCCCAGTTCCCCCAATTGCTCTCCTACAGCCTGCATAGCATCACCGTGAGCAAGAGGGTGGGGTATTGGGTTTTCCCCCTCTGACTATGTTTTATATGCTTTACATTTCCTCTTATCAGAATTCAATGAGCTGCAAAGTAGGAACTGATTTATGGTGTCTTTGACTTATACAGGTCAGGTGGGAAAGAACACTGGTAGCTCCCACGACAGCCACCTCCTGCATCTCCCACTCCTCAGGTGAGGGGAAAGTGGTCCTTAGCTTTTTCTTATGTAAAACATCATATAATCAAAATATTGTATTGGCATAAAATAACCAAAACACAACATCATGAGACATCAAAGTGCTTTCTGAATTCTGCAGAAGAAACCAGGGAAGAATAAGGGGCAATGAGGCAAAGAGAAATTAAATAGCTCTGTTAAGGTTATGCAGTACTAAATAAGTGAAAATCCCTATGCAAACCCTCCTGAAAATTTTGGGTTTTTTCTGAAAACATGCTGGAACCATGGGCTTACTCTGGCAAAGGCAGTGCAAGAATTTGGTGTTGGATGGGACTGGCTGCAATGAGAGCCATAGTTGCTTAAAGCTTATACAGAGCTAGAGCTCCAGTGCTGTAGCTGGTGAATTTAGGGCAGTAATCCCCAGTGAGAGCATCCAAACTGAGTATTTCTCTGGTTCTGATCCAGTCTCTTCTCCCCACTCATGCAGTGCTCCCTGTACATAGCTACGACAGCAACAGGGCTTTTTTCCAGCACTTCATTTGGGAAAAATTAGAAGTGTTATCTGTACCTTCCTTTGAAGGCCACAAAAATTGGGTAAAACAGCTCAGTGAAACTCAAATCCTTGTGAGTGCCACCGCGTAGCTTTTTGTGGTGGCTGTGGGCCAGTGTCGAGATCAGCCTGGGGTGGGTGCGTGGGTGCTTTCCTTGGTGCCTCCTGGTGGCGGTTCCTGCAGCCATTGAGCAGAGCCGTGGAGTGGCAGCAGCAGCAGAACTCACACCTCTCCCTGCCACTGGGGATAAACCACACAAACTTCTGCTCTACTGTGCTCTTCCCCAGGGTCTTGAAGTTTACTGTGAATTACGATGTTTGCATTAAAAGCAAAGTGCAGTGTCCCAAGCTTCTGTTCCCAAACCTCCCTCCTTTTCTGCTACATATAGTTGTATGCAATATAAATGCACTGCTGTGCCTCAGTGAACTTACATCACCTCCTCTCGGGCAATTTCTTAGTTTGTCTCTGGGGTTCTGAGCTGTAGAACAACATTAAGAATGCCAGTAGAGCTCCAAAGAACTTGGGTAGGTACTAGGAAGCCAGTGGTACCCCCCAACGGATGGGCCTGTATGTAGCAGTATATTAAAAAATAACTTATTACCAATCAAAGCAGAGTAGTGTAATAGAAATAAAAACTAAATTTTAAAACCGAGGGCTCCACCGTGGATCCCCTGTGGAGCCACATGTCCTGCCAGGAGCCTGCTCCAGTGTGAGCTTCCTATGGTATCACAGCCTCCTTTGAACATCCATCTGCTTCAGTGGGGTCCTCCAGGAGCTGCATGTGGGTATCTGCTCCACTGTGGAGCTCCATGGGCTGCAGGGGGACAGGCTGCCTCACCATGGTCTTCACCACAAACTGCAGGGAACGATCTACTTCCACACCTGGGGCACCTCTTCCCCCTCCTCTGACCTTGGTGCCTGCAGAGCTGTGTCTCTCCCGTGTTCTCACTCCTCTCTTCTGGCTGCAGTGCTATTGCGCAGTTTTTTCCCTTCTTAAATATGTTTATCCCAGAGGTGCTACCACCACTGCTGATGGGCTCAGCCGTGGCCAGTTTAGGGAGTAGTTGTGCTTTCAGAAGAATTTTTAACGGTAAAGCTAGAAAATTGTTTTTGCTTAGGAAGCCTGCCAAGTGCCTTCTCGAGAGGGTTATATGTTGGTTTTTTTCCCTTCTGCAGTGCAGAGGGGGTTGCAGAGAGAGCTGTGTTATCTCTGCTGCGCCGGAGACAGATAACCCTAACAGACATGCACAGAGGCCTTGGAAGATGGGGGAGGATACAGAGAGGATACTAAAGGCCCTGGAGAGGGCAGGAACTTGCCTTTTTCTCCCTGGGGCCCAGTGTTTAACAGCACTGTGAGGTATTTGTTAGTTTCTCGAGTTCTGGCCTTCTAAATAAACTTTTGAATTCTTTCCACTGCCTTGGCATTTCTGGAGATACCTTACTTTATTACTTTCTGGGTATCTTACTTTACAGCCAGCAGTGTGTCCATCTTGGAGCCACCTGGTATTGGCTCTGTCACACATGGGGGAAGCTTCTAGCAGCTTCTCACAGAAGCCACCCCTTATACAAAAACCTTGCCATGCAAACCCAATGCACTATTCACTGGAACAAGACAGAAGCCCACTTGGTTTCTGGTAGGACTTTATCAAATATTTATTCCAAATTATATGGAAAAATTATATTAGAAATTGTTTCCTGAAAATACCGCTGATTTATTTGATTTCCTCCATCCCAGCTAGGTTGTGTAAACTAGGGGAGTGAGAAGGCTGTAAGCTGGGTAGCCCTGAAGATGAACCTTGCAGAGCTGCAGGCAGCACTGCTGAGCCACACTCCCCTTGGGGTGTTTCTGGGTCCTTCTTGCTGAGATACCATTGTGCTGAACAGAAATAATGAGGTCTCCTCTAGCACCACACGTGGCTGGGGCCACTGGCAGGTTCCAGGTGCTGGCAGCAGCCCCACGGAGCGCCCTGCAGCTGAAGGGTCCTGCTGCTGCACCACTCACCCTGCCATCCCTGCTGCAAGGACTTGGGATGGGATTGGCAGCATCTCATCTCCCTTTGAACAACCCAATGTCTTTCCAGAAGAAAAGTGTAACTGTCCACAGATGCTAGCTACAAATTGCTGTGTGATATAATGTGGTTTATGTTAAGCAAGAAATGGCTATACTTTCTCAGTCTTAGAAAACAATCTGTTAATTTAGCCCTTACATTGAGTTGTGTATCTCAAAGTTACTCAAAAAAACTACCCCTGTGAGATGGCCCAAAAGGAAATCTAAAATCATGCTGATAGTGAGAAGGTAAAAAGTAAATTTTCCTTCACTTCCCAGTGAAGGAAAGTGAAGGTAATACCCAGAGACACACTGTGCTCAAAAATAGTGCTGGTGCATGATGGTTCCTCATCATTGACTTCTAAGTGTTTGTGCTCTGGCTGGAAAAATGCTAGCTTATAAAATATTTAAGCAACAACTGTTCTTACTCTGGAAAAAGTCCAAGCTCCTACTCAATGCAATT